CTCTTTCCTGTGCTGGGGCTCTGGTTTGGCATATATATTTGCCGTGGACATGGATTGTGGGGACAAGCTGACTGCAATGCCCTGTGAGGGCTGCGGCCTCTCCTCAGGGACCTCTCCCAAACAGTACATGATCTCCGATCTGTTCCCTGTGTCCTTCAATGAACGGAGAGAAAAGGATTTTACGGTGAGTACCAAAATCCTATTATTTTACAGGTGTTATCCAAATTGCCTATCACACGTAACGTAATAGTTCTGTTTCATATCCTTTTGTCAATGTTCTGCAGGAACTGACTGTACTTAGTCAACTCCATCATCCAAGCTTAGTGTGTTTGCTGGCGGCTGGTATTCGGCCTAGAATGTTGGTGATGGAATTGGCGCCTAAAGGTTCTCTTGACCGTCTGCTACAACAAGACAGTGGTTCATTGACCAGAACTCTTCAGCACAGGATAGCAGTCCATGTTGCTGATGGGCTGAGGTAAGTCATAATTGTGTGTAAATTGATTTATCATTTAAAGATGTATAACAAATGTCTTTTTTCTATGTAAAGTCTGATGACCACCATGATTAGCTAAAGCAAAGCAACTGTTGCTTTTAAATGCAAGCAAATCATGTTTATGTAGTTTACATATGTTAAAAGATTTGTTTATAGTACATCAATTGCATTTGAAGTATTTAGAATCCTGCAGAATAGGAATTGCTTCTTGACCGTACAGTGATATTGAATTATATTATTTTGTTCTATTCCAACAAGGTATCTTCATTCAGCAATGATCATATATCGGGATTTGAAGCCTCACAATGTTCTTCTGTTTACTTTGTATCCAAACTCTGCTGTTATTGCAAAGATTGCAGATTATGGAATTGCGCAGTACTGTTGCAGAATGGGAATTAAAACCTCAGAAGGCACTCCTGGTAATTGCGTGTTTATTGGGGGGGAAAAAAATCACTAACTAAAAGGGCAGAAAAATGTATTCATTAGGAAGGTAGCTTTTCTCCAGTGATAGGGTACTGAATTATTTCATTAATTATAGCACACACAGAAAAACCACTACCTGTTAATCTAGAATAACAGTCAGGACAAGCATGGATGTATAGATAGAAAATTGGGTGAAAGCAGACCTTTACACTCGAAAATCAAATTCTACCATAGTATCCCTCTATGTATGATGATTAATAATAACAGACATGTCAGGTGTAAAATGCTGTGATTGTGAAATACTTCCATTTGCAGAGCTTTCACTTACTGCTTTGGAAGTGCAAATTACTTCAGTTTGCCAACACAATGCACACTGGGATTGCCTTGTCATCACCAGAGCATTGCTTGGAAATCTCATCTGTAATCTCACGAGTTCTCAGGGAAAGGCATTTTTCTCCCCTGAGATGATAAGCATGGTCACATGTCCTAGTCACATATGCCAGAAATCCAGGAAGTAATATGAGAGCTAGTAATCTGCCCTTAGTAAACATTGCCACTGTCAGAAGAATGGGGAAAAAAAGATAAATGAGGCATGCAAAGAATACAAAGCCGGCAATTTTCTAGAAGTATGGATTTTCGTGTGTAACACCTTTTTGAAGATCCCTTTTATGCATCAGTCTTTTTATGCACCAGCACGTTAATTAAAGAATTGGAGGGCGATTACCAACCCTTTAAAAAAATCTATGTTATTAGTTTATAGTTTACACTTTATAAGTGTGGATAAAGATTTTGATTTTTTTGGTTTCTGAACACCTCGCGGTTTAAATATTTTGAGGTCTGTATATCCACTGGATCGCATCACCACAATTAATTTGTATATAGTTGCGGTACACACTGTGTGTAATGTTTATGGACATTATTGTTTTCACTGCTATTATTGGTTTATAAATGGTACCTTAATTTTAATAGTACCTCATTTTCACTCTTTATGTCTCATAAAAAGTTTTTGTGTGTATTCACAGTCCGGGAATAAAGACATTTGTGTCACAGAGAGGAATTTACATTTATCACAGCACCTGATATTGTCTCATTTATTTAGTTTAACCAGTTGACATCCGCGGTGTTAAACCCCCTTCCCATCCAGGCCATTTTTCAGTATTCAGCGCTGCGGTACTTTAACTGACATTTATTCCGTCATGCAGCGCTGTACTGAAATGAATTTTATACCCTTTTTTATGTTTGTCATTTTTAAAGATATTGGTAAAGGTCTGCTTTAACACTGTCTCCTCTATGTTCACTGTATAGGGATACAGGCAGCTGCCATTAGCCTACTGCAGGGGCGCCCACAATTTTTCGTTCGGAGATCTACTTTTCAAATGGCAAGCTTAATGAGATCTACCAACGGAAAAACACCTGCATTCGGGGGGGGGAGGGGGAGCTTGGCAGTGCCATTGACTACAAAAGGGCAGCCACGCCCTTCACCCGCAGTGCGATTGCCCGCACCCAGAACGCAGGCACATAAGTGCCTGCGTTCCGGTCCAGTGTGATCTGCAAACATGCTGCAAGCACTATTTTTGCAGATTGCATTGGACCGGAATGCAGGCAGGCAATCGCACTGTGGGTGGGGGGCATGGCTGCGGTGCCATTGACTTCAATACAACCCCACGCCCCCTTCTGCCCCTTAACGCATGCAGAAATTTTAATTATTTTAATGTAATTTTTTTTATTTTACTGTTGGGGGGGGGTTTCAGGGAAATATTAGGGGTCTAAACAGTCCCCCTGATATTTCCTTTTTAAAATAGAAAAAGAAATTGAGGACACAAAGTCCTCAATCTCTTTTTCTGTTGCCTCTGTTCTAAATGAATGGAAAGCACAGGGGCTTCCCATTCATTCTGAAACTATTTACTATCATCCAGTTTCTGAATGGGGAGGAGCCTCTGCACGGAGTGCTACTCCCCATTGAGAAACATATGAATGAACAGGAAGTGATGTAAATCTCATCCTGTTCATTCATAACTGGGGACACATAGTACTATGTGTCCCCAGTTATTTACAAACACTGGAGTGATCAGCTGATCGCTCCAGTGTTTGTCCTGCACAGAGGCTTGGTACATATCACTGATGTGTACCGATCCTCTGCCGCTTGACCACGCACACAGGGGGGCTCAGATTCTCCTGTGGATCTCCTGGGCAGAGGCAGCGGGGGATCCGATGAGAAGTGAGTGAAGCACTTCAGCCACGGGGGACGGAGCCGCTGTCACAGCAGCATGTGCGGTGAGGAGAGCGAGAGCCGCCGGCTGTCAGATCCAGGCCGATCATCTCGCTCTCCTCACCGCTTTGCGTGCTGCTGTGATAGCGGCTCCGCCATCGCCTGCAGCGCTTCGTTCACTTCTCGGATTCCCGCTGCACACAGATGGGGGAGAGCATCGGGGATCCAGAGAAGCCCCACGGCAGGAGGACAGGACATCGCGATCTACCAGGGATCACTTTGCGATCGTCTGGTAGATCACGATCGACCTAATGGTCACCCCTGGCCTACTGCTAGGTGAAGAAGTGAAGGTAATTATCAAGATGATTCAGAATACATAATGTATATTACTATTATGTTTTTATTTCAGGATTCCGTGCCCCTGAAGTTGCCAGAGGAAATGTTATTTACAACCAGCAGGCTGATGTATATTCTTTTGGACTGTTGCTTTATGACATTTTGACTGCTGGCGCTAGGATGGTTGAAGGACTTAAGTTTCCAAATGAATTTGATGAGCTTGCAATCAATGGAAAATTGCCTGGTAAGAGTACTTATTTTATTAAAAAATGAGTATAAAACCTGCCATTAGCCTGAGCACTACAGTGTTTATTGGCTCTATACATGGATCATACTGCTCCATTCCACAGTGCCCAGTATAACTAAGAGAACCAAACCTACATGGAGAAGTAGAGCTCTTTACATGATTCAGAATCTATGGGCAATGTACAGAAACCTGGAATCCTAAGATACTGTATATAAAGTTTATTCCTATAGTAAAACAGGCATTTTGCCCTTTCTTTATTTGCGTTAGTATTGTGCAACAATTTGCTTAGGTGCAGATGTAGGGAAAAACCATGCTTTTTTGAGACTTGCAAACACATCACCCTACTCCTTACTCAATTCCTTTATGCATGGTATAGTGTCTCGTATTCACTTTTGCATTAAGTTTGTTATTGGACTAAATAAATGTTTATTGGCATCATTTGTCATCGCTCTAGGCCACATGGTCATGAGTTGAGTGTTGCACATTCAACTTTAGTTACCATGGATAAAGCCCCTCGAACCTACAGAATGTTATGACATTGATAAATAATGTACCATAAACTAGCCTCTGTATAGATAGATCCTTAGGTGTAAATTTAAAAAAAAGCCAGTAGTAAAATCTACATTTCACATCTACAAATGCTAGACATCTACTGTGTGTCCACCAGATGCCTTTGCAAACAGTTATTTCTTTGTAAAAGTGATAGTGACATTATCACTGTGCTGTACATAGCCTGTGCAGAGCGAGAGAGAGGGGTCCAGCAAGTCCTCCCACTACAGACTGCCTATAGAAAATTAGGATGGGGAGGATACAAGACCAATCTCTGCACAAGGAGACAGAGTAGCAGGGATTGGTCTTTGTTAACAAAATCTCTAGTACAAAGGCCAATATTCATACTGGATTACTACACAGAAAAAAATACACAAAGCATACCAAGTTAGAATACACATGCCTCTTGCATTTAGACAGTATTTGCTTATCCCAAAGTGCTTGTTTTTGTCTAGGGATGAAAAAAAAAGAGATGTATGTATGTATGTATATGTGTGTGTGTGTGTGTGTGTGTATATATATACACTGAGTGGCCAGATTATTATGACCACCCCATCAGTACTTCGTTGGGCCACCTTTTGCCTTCAATACTGCGGCGATTCTTCTTGGCATTGACTCCACGAGATGTTGAAAGGTGATGCGAGGAATCTGACACCATGCCTGATGAATAGCACTGTCCAGTTCTGTGAGATTTGATGGTTGTGGAACCAGCTGCCTGATGGCTCTTTCAACTTTGTCCCACAAATGCTCAATTGGATTGAGATCTGGTGATTGTGAGGGCCACCTAAGCAAGGTAAATTCGCCCTTATGTTCTTGAAACACGCCTTCATGCCAGGAAAACATGCCCCAAACCATAACACTGCCCCCACCAGCTTGAAAGGTTGTACTCATGCATGTGGGGTGCATGCTTTCATGCTGTTCCCACCAAGTTCTCACTCTGCCATCTGCATGATGCAACTGGAAACGTGATTCATCGGACCACATGACTTTTTTCCAATGCTTGACTGTCCAATTCGTGTGTTCCTTTGCAGAAAAAAAATCACTTCTACTGTTGTGGTAAACAACCTGCTTCCCTATTTATAATGGTCTGCCCCTCAGGAAACTTCATCGTGAAATTATAGCTAATTTACCTACAAACGTCAGGTGGTCATAATAATCTGGCCACTCAGTGTATATACACATACACCTAAACTTCAGAGCCAGCTGGCTGTTAGACTGGTCCATGCACCCTCGCTCTTCCTCTGGTCCTGTTAGTCTTTACTTCCAAAACATTGTATGGGATGTGGAGATGCTGAGGGCTATTCCATTGCTGGAGCAGAGGAGGAGACAGGCACTGTAAGGGTTACAATTATTTTTTGCCCAGAGTTCTGTTAGGGTTCAGATTTGAGAGTTCCCCGGGATTCGATCGTGCAGCCAACTTCAGACAAGTACTAGTGGAATTAAGAGTCACACCAAGTTGTGTATTCACTCTATATTCCAAGGTTTATTGTAAAACAAGGGATACATATACAAGTCTTAGAAATGGATGGAGGAGCATAAACCAATAGAAATCATGTATATAAATTAATAAATACTACCATGGGTCATAGAACGGTCACACAGGTGGCTACTACTAATGAGATAAGATGATACAGTTTTAATGATACAAGAATGCATCTGTGAACAAATGAAAGCGGTTCAAGGCCAGTTTATTCAGAACCTTCTAAAAAGCACACTTTTACTTGTTCAAAATATTAACTATATACAAACTAAGAATAAGATTATTCCCTTCACGTTCTTCTTTAATGTTGAAGATAAAATATAAATAATAAAAGTGCTGAAACTCTCCTGATTTATATATTCATAATAATTACAACAGCACCATAGATGGCACAACCACCTAACACCACATCCCAGATTTTTATACAGAAGGCATACCGTTTGACTACATAGTAGCTGTTATGTAGGGATTTTTAAAGAGTAACTAGTAACATAGTAGGTGAGTTTGAATAAAGACCAAGGTCCATCCAGAGGACCACATGACTTTTTTCCAATGCTTGACTGTCCAATTCGTGTGTTCCTTTGCAGAAAAAAAATCACTTCTACTGTTGTGGTAAACAACCTGCTTCCCTATTTATAATGGTCTGCCCCTCAGGAAACTTCATCGTGAAATTATAGCTAATTTACCTACAAACGTCAGGTGGTCATAATAATCTGGCCACTCAGTGTATATACACATACACCTAAACTTCAGAGCCAGCTGGCTGTTAGACTGGTCCATGCACCCTCGCTCTTCCTCTGGTCCTGTTAGTCTTTACTTCCAAAACATTGTATGGGATGTGGAGATGCTGAGGGCTATTCCATTGCTGGAGCAGAGGAGGAGACAGGCACTGTAAGGGTTACAATTATTTTTTGCCCAGAGTTCTGTTAGGGTTCAGATTTGAGAGTTCCCCGGGATTCGATCGTGCAGCCAACTTCAGACAAGTACTAGTGGAATTAAGAGTCACACCAAGTTGTGTATTCACTCTATATTCCAAGGTTTATTGTAAAACAAGGGATACATATACAAGTCTTAGAAATGGATGGAGGAGCATAAACCAATAGAAATCATGTATATAAATTAATAAATACTACCATGGGTCATAGAACGGTCACACAGGTGGCTACTACTAATGAGATAAGATGATACAGTTTTAATGATACAAGAATGCATCTGTGAACAAATGAAAGCGGTTCAAGGCCAGTTTATTCAGAACCTTCTAAAAAGCACACTTTTACTTGTTCAAAATATTAACTATATACAAACTAAGAATAAGATTATTCCCTTCACGTTCTTCTTTAATGTTGAAGATAAAATATAAATAATAAAAGTGCTGAAACTCTCCTGATTTATATATTCATAATAATTACAACAGCACCATAGATGGCACAACCACCTAACACCACATCCCAGATTTTTATACAGAAGGCATACCGTTTGACTACATAGTAGCTGTTATGTAGGGATTTTTAAAGAGTAACTAGTAACATAGTAGGTGAGTTTGAATAAAGACCAAGGTCCATCCAGTTCAACTTGTGTGTGTGTGTGTGTGTATTTATGTGTATTTAACACTTCCCATATCCTTGTATATTTAGTGACTGAAGAAACATATCTAGAAGTTTCTTGAACTAATGTACGCTATCGGCGAATTTCACTGCCAGTGGAAGGGAATTGTTCCACATTATTACTACTCGCACAGTAAAAAAAAAACACCTTGCGCATTCTGAGATTGAACCCCCGTTCTTCGAACCTCTTGTTGTGTCCACATGTTCTCAGTACTGTTCTCGGTTAAAACAACTTGTTTCGAATATTGTGGTCCCCATTGATGATTTTGAAGATTGCAATAAGTTCCCCTCTTAATTGTCTTCTTTCTAAGGAGAATAAATTCAATTGTTGGAGGCAGTCTAAATAGCTCAGTCCTTCTATCCCTTTAATTAATGGTGTGGCCCTTTTTGAACTCTCAAGCTCGAGGACATCCTTCCTGAGAGTTGGCGACCAAAATTGCACCCAAAAATGCGACCAAAAAGTATTATTCTCTTATCCCTTGCTACAATCTCTTATAAAGTGGAAGTTTTATTCTCTTATCCTTTGCTACGCTTTAGCAAAGTCCAGATACACCACATTCCTGTTTAAATTAGTACTGACCTCCTCATAAAAAGTTAATAGTTTGGTCTGACAAGAACAGTCCTTCATGAAGCCATCTTGGTTTCTACTTATGATACCAGTTTTATTCGCAAATTCCTGCATGTAGTCCTTTATCATGCCTTCGACTATTTTTCACACTATTGATGTTAAGCTGACTGGCCGGTAGTTACCTGTTAACTCTGTTTGCCCTTTTTGTATATTGTTACCACATATGCTCGCTGCCAGTCTATCGATACCGTATAAATTATTACAGTGTCCATAAAGATTATGTACAGGGGTCTGCATATGACCTGGCTAAGTTCGTTGAGTACTCTTGGATGTAACCCGTCAGGTCCTGGAGATTTATTTACATTTAATCTTTCTAGCCTCTGTACTGCTCTCCGAAACCAACTGAGATACGTTAAAACTTTTATTATTGTTTCTGCAGCGGATGCAGGGGAATACAGAAGGCCCAGGGAAAGATCTGGTATCTGTGTAGCCAAGCCAAGCGATGAGGATCAGCAAACACACTGGTCAGAGCTGGGACTGTAGGCCTTTACAGCCCCAGCTCTGACCAGTGTGTTTGCTATGCGGATACCAGATCTTTCTCTGAGCCTTCTGGATTCTCCTATTGTCCCTGGGTCAGACGGTCTTTGATGCCTGGCGATAGATGGAGGGTGCAGATAGAGGATGACCTGCCCCTGGATGGATATATGTATCGCTAAATACAGTAAAGTCTGTTGAAGCAAATCTTATTTTGCGAAAATGCGTCACTACCACTACTGTTTGTCTTCGGCTGTGATACAGTACTATCTATGTTTATAGAACTAAACGTGTAATATATACAGTGGCCTTCATAACTCTTTGAAGATACAAGGATGATCTGACATATACTAAATTGGGTTATTTTTCTACATGCTGATTTTATGACTGATATTATTTTAGATTGTTGTTAATAAAAATGTACACATTTTAACAGATCTTTGTACATGGTACTTGTTACACTTTAAAAATCACTACGTAACTGCTACTATATAATCAAAATTGTATGCCTTCTGTCCTGATTTATAAAATGGGTAACATATCTTGTATTGCATTAAATGTATTTTAGGACTTGTGGCTTTCAGTGAATTATCATTTCTTCAATTAGTTTCCTCATTTTTAGAACAGGATGTTGACATTTTAGGATGTTCCTACATTGTGTAAATTTCAATTTCACAGGCTTGCACAGTAAATAGAGCATATCTGTCACAATGTTTTAATTTATATTTTTAATTACGCTGATGTTGGACTGTTTAGCAGTGAATGTTTGTTTATATGAATTTTTACTTGAATGGGAAACTACAGTGTATTTTCAGTAAGCTTATATTTAGAGTTATACATATAATTATTTTAAATGGGCCTAAACCTGGGGCACATATGAGTTTATTGTTGTAATGTTAACCTTGAAGTAGTAAAGCTTGATGTGACTCATGTTTTATATGCATACTGTACTATTTTCTAACTTTCTATTTCAACTCCAGGCCAAATCTTTTTTTTTTGTAGTTCAATGTAGAGGTGGGGTTAGGTTAAAACATCTGTCAGGTGTTTTTTTTCTCTTTGTTGACAGAAAAAAAGATATTTCCCCGAAACTTTCTTTCCCAAGGACACATCAGGAGGCAAGGTTAATTTTTCCCGGTGGGAGCACAGCTTTTAAAGACTGTCAGACGTTCTAATCCTCCACCTTATATAAAAGTCAGGTTTTGAATGGAGTAGTTTCACTTTTGAATGTGCATATTTTTAAAGTTGATATTAAGTTGATGTTCCATTGGAACTGCAGTTGCTTTAGATGCAAATCCCTGCCACATACATTGTTGTCAGGGAATTGAGTCTAGACTTGAAGCGTGATAGATAATATGTAATGAGAAAATATATGCTCCCTATGTACTTGTATAGCTAGCTGAAAGCTATTAATAAAAAAAAAAAAAAATGATTTGTGACACATATTGTTAAGGTTATTTACATTAACATTTTTACTGTTGCTGCCGTAACTATTACGCCATAACTGTTATGGCAGCAGCATGTAAACAAACTCCTGGCTGCTATAGCAGTTTGTGTACTTTTTTCACTGCAGGCAGCTGGCTTGCTTGTTGGGAAATTAAACGCACCCAATTGCATCTACTTTTTTATGAAGGTGCCCCTTCCCGTTTGCTGATTTTCCCCTGGGTAGTATGAACCCAGATTTGAGCACCTCCAGGTTCAGATCAGTCAATTCCCAGCTGCTTTGGCTGGGGAGGAAGCTGTTCATGCACAGTCTTGATTTACACTCTTGACTTCAACAGAGTGTACGGATGACATTATGGATCTAATAATTCCCTGATGTTCCCTTAAGGAGAACCTATACTTTTCTATCATATAGGGGACTTGTCAGTCCCCTTGTGATGGGAATACAAATAAGTAAAGAAAATGTAAAAAAATTGTATAAGGAATGAAAGATGTATAAAATAAATATCCTGTCCCTATGTACACACACATAAACAGAAATGTGCATGTTGGAGGCACGTGCTTACAAAAATGTCATACACATTTTGGTATCTGAAAATAATTCTCGGGCCAACATTCACTGTAAACGCTAAACTGATGACCTGTAAAGGCTTTTAAAACATTGCCTATGGACAATTTTGGGTGCTGTCGTTTTTCGCCATTGTACAGGTCTGCAGAAATTTGAGGCTTGACATATTTGGTATTGATTTTTTAATCAACACAACCCCTTTTTTTGAACCAAATAATTGTTTATTATATTGTGTATGTGTTCACTTACATTAATTTGAGTGTATTATGAAATTGTAAATTTGATAAACAGCACAAATATTGTGTAATATATATAACTTTGGTTCTACAGGATCTCTGCTTTCAGAAAAAATATAATGTTTTGAGGGTTGTAATTAATCTTCAGGCCCACAATGTGTATTTTAATGTGTGTAAAACATCAACAACAAAAAAAGGGGGGTGGCTCCGGAGGCAAGAGTTGTCTACTCTCACATGCTTATTTGTGTATGTATATATATATATGTGTGTGTTGTCCTTTTAAGAGTTTAAATATATAATTATGGATGACTGTTTTCTAGATCCAGTCAAAGAGTATAACTGTGCACCCTGGCCAGAAGTTGAAGTTTTGATTAAGAAATGCTTGAAAGAAAATCCTCAAGAACGTCCCACATCTGCTAAGGTATACTTTTTATGGTGCTTTTTTCTTCTTCTTTTTTTTTTTAAATAATTGGGGGAGGGCAGCTTTATTTCTTTAACTTTTTTCTACTCTTTTAAAATTATTATTACTTTTTTTATTGTGAGGGGCTTTGGGGATATATAAGGGGTCTAAACAGACACCTGATATTTCTCTTTTGAAATAAAAATAAAGAGATTTAGAACATAGAGTCCTCAATCTCTTTTTCTCCAACCCGAGCAGTCAAGGAACATGAAGTACAGAGGCTTCCTGTTCATTCATAAATCGAGGACATAGTAAACAGATACTATGTCCACAATCATGATTGAACAGGATGTGATGAAGGGAAGGAAGGTGTAGTTATCAATTCCCACTGATGCTTCAATATGGAAGTCAAATTGCTTCAATACATAGTGAATGTTGCTGGAGCTTATACTTGGAAACGTGACACTTTTTAGAAGTGACATGAAAATGAAATGACATACTAAACAACATAAATAAACTACTAGCTGGAAAAAATAGAACTATAGCCAACATAAGGAATTCTGGAAAAAAATTACTATATGTAGAAGGCCAAATAACCTTTGAGGATAGAAGTATGGGAACATATATGTTGTTGAAGGTGCAGGCTTCAGGACTGTTACTATCCTGGCTGCACCACTAAGTGCATATCTGACATGGAACAAGCATTTGCTCAGTTAAATCTGGAACCATCCCTGCAAGAGTCAGTAGTACAATAGGTGCTGAAGTCAGGCTTGAAATGACAATACCAGAGTCTGCTAGTTTTCAAATCCACGTCAGCCATGACTGTGCCTGATCTTTCTTTAAGATTTATGTTTATAGGATTTTAAATTTACAAAAGTTTAATTAAAATCCCCGACCCCCTAATCTCTGACATGGAGAAAAACAGCCTCTGATCATCGTACATAGCGACCATATTTATAACACAAACTTGTACAATTAATCTGAAATTTTAACATGGCTTATGAAATGTCGATAGAGCGAACATTTATAAATGTATAACCTTAAATAGATCTTGGCATAACTAATTGATCTTCCAAACCTGTATTGTATTTTATAATACTTTTATACTGATCCCTTTCTAGTTACACTGTGTAAATATCTGATTACTGGCCTTTTTTACTAACCAAAAAAAGAAAAATCAGCGATTTACACCTATTATGAGTTTAAATCTGGCCTTGTACACAAAAACATAATAAATACCCTATATATAATCAAATCATATGATGTTAATCTGGGAAAAAAAGATGGGAGCATGGGGTTTTAAGCAACGGCACCAACAAAGCTTTACATTTCTACAATGGCCCTACAATGTGAGTTTTTAAAATCTAAGATTATAATTTTTAAAAAAGTATCCATTCCTAAACTGTCAGAGATTAGGGGGAGCCATTATACAGGCTAATACAGTCTGTGAGCTTGAAATAAGGTGAGGAGCAAGGACTACCTTAAATTTGATATCTCCTGGACTATCCGCATAGCTTAACAAACAAGCATACAAGGGGTGCCAAGGTTATTTTGGCTAAAAATATTTGAGACTGCTCATTGATAACATTGGGCCGGTAGCAATGGAGATTGAAGCCACATTTTGAGCCCTCTTTCAAAGCCAAAGAATGTAAAGATGTAAACTCTGTGTATGATATATTACTGTGTTAAACAATGACGCACACTGTTGGATAATCGAGGCAAAAGTATCCGCTTCATATTTAATCCTTAAATTGTCATTTAAATGGTTGCTTTTTATTACAATTCCTGCATCCAATGTTCCAAAATATGTTTGCTTTGAGCTGGCAGTTGTTTGTTTTTGTCACTAAGTGTGCAGTCTGGGTGTCTGATACTTTGGCACAATTTAAATGTTTACTTTTCACTTTGTCATTGTCCAGAAGCTAACGTGGAACATCTTATAATTAAAGCTTACACAGTTAAAGTCTGTGGTAAAAGGTATATTGAGTGTGGTGTGCTAACATTCTTGCCCATGTTTAGTTTGTTTCAATATAATGTTTTAGCCTTTTAAAAGCTGTGAATAATCTTCAACAGACAAAGGGAGCTGCAGAGTGACAGTCTCAAAAGTTGGGATTGCTTGATGGAAGAATGAAAACAAAGAGATAATATTTTGCATTTACCTCCATTCGCATATAGTGTGCATTTTTTCCATCCTTACTCTGTATTTGAATGTAAATTCTTAAACAATGTTATGCTTTTGGTAGGTTTAAAACCAGTAGATTTTAGGCAGTGCAATGAAAATTCAAGGGTTTTGTACTATAATCCGCAAGTGTATAAATAAAACACAAGCTTGTAAGACCAAAGGCTGTTTTAATTGAGTTTAACCTCTTGCCGTCCGCCCGTAGTAAAAAAACGGACGGACGGCACATGGTTTCCATGAAAAATCTAAATGCTGGCTTTTTGCAATAAAATACTGTGAATGCTTATCTCTCCCCTGAGCAGTAAGTCCTAACTCCTTGGTCTTTCAGTGCTACAATCTGCAGCAGAACCTTTAACCTTCCTCATGGGAATGTTGAATGCTGGCATTGCTCATTAGTGAATCCATTCTCTGGCCCCCATGACCCTACAGGACTCAGCAGTGACATAGGGGCCAGCAGAGGGAAACCGTGGCTCGTGGTGGGGGAGGCAGGCATTCAACACTCCATAAATCTTAGCACTGGAAGACAGTAGTTCAGGCTTGCTGCCTGGGGAAGAAGTAAGTATTGTATCTTGTAGGGAGCTGGTGTTTGGATTTTTGGGTAATCAAGAAACACTTAATTTATTTGTGGGATTTACTAAAGCGTTCATAAATTCTTTACTACTTACACCCCAAGAATGTTTCTGACAGTTACAGGACCTACTTATGTTGGCTACAGTAAATTTCTGAAATCAGTACAGAATTCTAGCAGATTAAAATTTACCTATAAAACTTGGATAGCGATGAAAATTCCTAGCTACATGAAATCACCAAAGGTTTTTTTTTTAATCATTGATGCACAGTTAGGGATTCTTGATAACTTGATCTTGACTGGGTACTAGAGATATGATGAGACTACAGAGGAGTACTTGGTGCACTGTTTTTAACCCCTTCATGACTGAGCTAGTTTTCAGGTTCTGTTCATACCTGACATACTGAAATGACAGAATAATAATTTTGCTGTGTTCTCTTTCAAGATATTTAACAAAAAAGATCTTTTATTCTGTATTTGTACAGGTTTATGAGATTTTAAATTCTGCAGAACTTCTTTGTTTAATGAGAAACCTTGTGGTACCGAGCCCTCTTACAGCTGAATGCATTGCAGCAACAAGTTCCCGTGTCAAAAATCCCACTGTTTGGGTTGGAAGTGGCAGCACTGATAAGGGACATATTTCCTGCCTAAATTTAGTTAAAGGTGGACATACTTGTGAGGTAATTATTTTCTGATATCTCAATATAAAAATAAAGGTAATACTGTTTCTTGGACAGCTAGAAGGGTGTTGTACTTGCAGCACTTGCATGATCAGTTGGTGTAACACCACACCATTACATAATAAAACTTGAGTAGCCAGTCTTGCTAGATATTTGAAAATAATAGGGATGTCACAATAACACTTTTTGAAGACCAAGTACAATGGAAATGGATGGAAATCGTATTAGTCAATGTTAATGTTATACTTTCCAGATTTCTATGTATAATTATATATGTACTTGGGGGCAATCATGTTTACTTATTGTACATTATTGGGCTGATTTATCATGGACAGGCCGTACCGTGAAACCTGTGGTCTCTCATGGAGTTTTCCCTTCTTAAGGCAACAAAAAGAACATGTGATTGGAGTTCACATTACTTTTGATTGGTCACATGGTCTGGCTCTCCTGCTGCCATGTCGTTGTGCTTTATACATTTTTTTAAAGCAGTGGTATAGTCATGATAAGGCCACACCACTGTTTTTAAATGGAGCACAAAGTCTGTTTCCTGGTTTGTGGTGTTACACAATCTTCTCATAATGCAAGTCTATGAGGTGACCAACTTTCCATATTAAATACAGTAGCACAAATATGGAAGAGCAAGCATTTAAAATTAAGGTTGAATATTAATATAGGATTATATATGTTTTTGCATCCTGGATGCACGTTTGTGGAGTAATGTATAAAAGTAACATTTGGAGGTATTTATTTCATCCTACAGAGTTTGCAGTTATAGTGGATATTGCCCATGTGTTTGTATGGCTGTATTAGAAGTATGACTGACTACAAGGCTGGCTGTAGAAGCTGGGAAACACAACCTTGGCTTCTGATTTCATACCTGTTTAAAAGGATCATTAGTATATTTTTCTTTTTATGTTTAATCAAATTTATATGTTTAATTATTGTACAGCCAAACATCTTGGTTTGTTAAAGTGGACCTACAATCAAAAACATATTTTAGTTGAAGCTTCCCTATCCTACTGCTACTTACAAAACAGCAGCCAGACCCCAGAAATATTTACATATCTCCTGAAATAAGATCCCTCTGTGTCTGGCCAGCTGCTGTCTTCACTGGCTTTGAATGGGGAAGAAGGACAGTTTAGTTGCCTCTATTTCACAAAGAGCTGCATTGAACTCTTAAGTGCCATGTTCCAGGAACTAGATAAGTATTTATGAAGCCTAGCTGCTATTTTGTAAAGTACTTTAGATCCACGTATTGATAATAGCAAACCTTTTCTAATGCATATGTAATCCTTCTTAAAATTTATGACTAGCCATTTAAAAAAAAATAAAAATTTCTCATGTGTTTCTTATGCAACTTTCTTTTACATTGCTTTCAGGACTTTTCAGACAGTAGAATCCTGTGTCTTGCACTTGTTACTCTACCTCGTGAGAGGGAACAGTGGATTTTGGCAGGGACACAGTCTGGTGATCTAGTGGCTGTGCTGGCTGAAGATCTCAAAACAAAACACTGTATTCAGAAAATGCCCGATTCCATTACTTGCTTGTTATTTTCTGGTGTAGTGAAGCAGAGGTATGGTTTAAGTATCCTACAATAACAAAGTGAAAAACAATCATTGCCATAATAAATGTTGCAACTGCATTGGCAAGCTTGTTTTGTAAAAGTGCTCACACCATAATAAATACATAGGAAAAATAATGCACTAATATACTTTTATGTACTATGTACTACTTTATTATGTAGTATGTAATATTACTTTTTATGTAACTATTTGTGTGCATACTCTACTGAACAGTTGTTTTGTTTAAACCCAAATTAGGAGGTGTTCTCTTTTAACACACATTAAGCTCAATTCACAAAACTAGCACACAAAAAGGGACATTTTTTTACCAGCTAAGCCCAATTTATATTGTGTTAAAGCTTTGTGAAGAGAGCCTATTAGCTCAATCAAACCTCTAAGGCATAATATGCAAGTTTGTAAATATAATATTTCACCTATTTTCTTTCATTGCTGTTATTTGAGAGCTCTTCTAGGATTTAAATTAGTTTGCCAGTTCAAATTCCTGCCTTATGTGTTGGAAAAAACTCCATCTAAAAGTCTTCAAACACAATAAAATCATGATAGTATCCTCATCGTTTATCTAGCTGTTCTTGCTTAAAGCCTCCTGTTGGATGATTAAAGACTAAACTTGGCGGGATGGCATAAAAGTTATATTTCACAGAACAGTTTGAAACCATTAGCCTTTTCTTCCTCTCTTCTTAGCTGATCACTTTAAATGAAATCCTATCAGGCATTACTGTTATCAAGGAAGGTTTTCCTATAGAAACACGAATTTAGAACTACGCAGCTTGTTCTGCTTGAACATACATCAGCTGTGTATAATATAGCTTTATAACCATTAATTATTTTTAGCATGAACATGCACTTGTTTTTCTGAAGATAAATGTTCAGAGTTACGTATCATAACAATTCTGTTTCCGTTGCAGTAAATGTGTGCAAAATCTGTTGTTAAGGGATATCCTTTTCATATCCCATTCCAAGTCCTTTTTTTTTTTTTGTATTGATTGTGTAAAATATAAAAGCACGACCACAACAATTTTGTTTGGCCATACATACTCACTTGTGTTTAAACACAGGGATATAAAGAAGGATCTTCTTAACAGGATAGTTGCTAAATGCCACAAAATCCCTTTGTCTAAAATTACCACAAAATTGAATAAACACTTCTGTGATCTGAGCTCAAAGCTAGGGTTTTTGGTTGAACTGCCTTTCAAAAATGATTAATCCGGGGTAGCACGCACACCCTTAACATGGTGTAAGCACAAAACTGGAACCTCTAAGCCCTGGAAAAAAATAATGTGACCCAATCCGTCATCATTCTTACAATGTTCTACTATATGAGTTTATTGTCTGGAGTAAGTCAAATGATGTCTTTAATTGCACAGCATCTGTTGATAGATATCCCTAACTACAAGTCACTTATCTCCTGGGAATTCCAGAGTTCACGGATTTCTCTCTTTAGAGATGGTACAGCCATTCTGTTTGTCTAGATGTCTGTTTGACTAGATGTTTGGATCTGTGGTGCACAGACTGATCTCATTATATTAGCATAGTCCAGGGTGATGTTGCTACCGTACACACTGCTAAATTGTTTTAAAGTAAACCTGTCAGAAGAGAAAAATGGGGCTGCAATTGGTGACCTCTTTTTCAAAATCCTGGTTTGTCTGACTATTATGCTGACCCACTGGCTTCAGGAGTATTTATCTACATCTTGTTCCAAGTTAGTGACACAAAGGGGTTGATTTACTAACTTTATAAACACACCACGAACGTGTATACACCTCTGCAGTGTGTTCCCTCCCAGCATGATCTATGGGTGGAATCTAAACACCTTTGTAATGTGTACACACCCAGCAGGTGTGTTGTGCAAAGCCCTGCATGAATTATAAGGTGCTGTTGGGTAAATTAGCTCTACGTTGTGTTGCTTGCGTTGATGAATGCAGGAATGTAAATGCATGAGCTAACCATTTTTGTCTAAACTGTGAAGCAGCATTATATATGCATCATGTGCATGATTTTTCCATATATGGCATTAGTGGAAATATGCTTTTAGAGACTTTTTGGTTGATAAATACGTTTTGCTGTGTGAAAATCACACGCACCTGGTGCGTGTGTGTGTTTAGGTTAGTAAATCACCCCCAAAGTATTAAAGTAGAACTATGGGGTTCTACTTTTTCTTTATTATTGCATTCCTTAGGCTAAAGGAGTAAATAGTGTAATTTACTCATATAAGCCAAAATGCACCCTGTAAACCCTTCTTTAACATGCTGGGCGGGGCTAAGCGCAGCAATGAGGAGAGATCCCGACAATACTGTCAGGATCCACCCCAATGATCTTCGTCTCTGTGACTAACAGTGATCGTTGAGAGCTGCTGCGCGTCCACAAATATATGGACATACGCAGCAGCTCTCTCCTTACCTTCACGTCCAGTCGTCTGTGCCCGCCTTCCAGACACGGTGCGGTGTAGCCTTGGATCCTTCTCTCCTTCATCTGCCCGCCTACTCCATGTGCTGTCTGCAGGGATCCCCAGTGGACTTGCTCATATGTGGTAAATGATGAAGAGAGAGAGGGCTCCTTCCACTCTCTCTTCTAGGATGTCAGCGTGACACAGGACAGGCAGAGAGAGGGGGAAGGAGTCCTCTCTCTCTCCATCATTTACCACATATGAGCAAGTCCATATATGGTGAATTTTGTCACTGGGGATCCCTGTTGATCGGATGCTTGCCAGTCTGCAGGGATCTCCAGTGACATCATTCAACATATATGGACTTGCTCATATGTGGTAAATGCTGAAGGGAAAGCCCTCTTTCCCCTCTCTCTTCATCGATCCCCAGTGATTATAGGATGTCAGTGTGACACAGGGCAGAGAGAGAGAATTGAGCCCCCTCTCTCTCCATCATTTACCACATATGGGCAAGTCCATATATGGTGAATGATGTCACTGGGGATCCCTGCAGACTGGCAAGCATCCGATCAACAGGGATCCCCAGTAACATGATAATTCACCATATATGGACCTGCCCTGTGTCCTGCTGACATCCAGATCGCTGATGAGAGAAGGGAAAGAGCACTGAAAGTGCAGGGAGGCTGAGTCAGCAGTTCACTTCTAACCATCTACTGCTGCTGCCTTTTCACTTGAGACCCCGCCTCCTGCTCCCAAATGCCAGTGTGCACGCTCTGACAAAACACAGCTGTGCACAATGAGAGGAAGCGCGGCCACAGCAGAAGGAGAATTTGAGAAAAAAAAAAGCTGGGGGTGGGCTGGATCAACTGTTAACACCCCCTAAGAGGAAAGGAGCTTGGAGCAGGGCTGGAGGTTGCCGTTTCCTGTGGGTTTTGATGACTTTATCTGTGATGTGCTGTGACTTCAGAAAAAAAGGAAGAATGCTAATATAATAAAGGTATAATTCTCCTTTAAAGCTGGTGGTTCAGAATAAAAGAGAGACAAGCAACATTTTTGGGAGAGTTGAGAATTGGCAACTTCCATTCTTTCTCCTGTCCTAGTTTACTTAGAGGAGTTGCAAGTACACCATAATGATGTCAACACATTTTGTGGCCTCCGCCAGTCACCACATTTAATCAAACTGAGATCACATCTGTCGAACTGGAGGCCTTTCTCCATGCTGAACAAATAAATGTTTTCTTTATATCTCAATTTTGTTTTAACAACTTTAACTAAAATTTGAAGAATATAGTATGTGTGTGTGTGTGTGTGTGTGTGTGTGTATACACGGTATACTGTATATAATTTAGTTTGAATGGTAATGGGGTTTAATTTTTCATTGGAAACTTGTTAATGTAATGATTTTCCTTATCTTTTCTTTTTTCAGCCAGAAAAAGAGCTATCTGTTTGTGGGCACAGCAAATGGCCTTATCATAGTATTTGATGAGGCTGCAGTGAAGGTAAATTTAACTAAATATTTTGAAGCACTGAAATACAAAACTTTTATTTCTTGACCATTGAGGGACGCAAAGTCTTAAACATTCATGGGAATCAGACACTGGCAAACATGTTGTATAGGATAGTAAACCTTCTTTTAGAATATCTGGAGCTTGCCCTGGACACTTCCCGGCCAGGGTATTTTTTCCCCAGGAGTAACTTCTGAGTCTCCAGTTCATGCAGTTTGCATCTGATGGTGGGCTCCTTCTTAGAATCTAGTATATTGTGGGACAGGTCCATCCTGTTTTTTGGACCGACAGATTGGTTTGACTTCAAGTACTAAGTTGCTGTCATAGTGGCTTTGAAATTCAGTCTGGATATCGGGCAAGTCATTCCTCCCCATGGTTTTTAAAATCCTGATAATGGATGCACCTGGAAGTTTTCCAGGACCTGTGTCACAGGTGGGAACACCGGATGTGGATCAGTACTCCCTGATCTATGCTTTTCTTCTCCTGAAGCTCCTTCCTTGACTGCTTCTCAGTATCAAGATGGAGGGCATTCAGGTTGTTCTTACAGCCCAAGATTAGCCCAGTAGAGACTGAGTACTGACCTAGTAAGAATTTTTAAAAACACAGCGCGGGCTCTGCCAGATGGTCTGGATCTTCTGTCCGAAGGACTAATTTACCATGCTGCTCCTTTGGTTGTTGGCTTTAATGTTATGGCAAATCCAGGTTTTGAGGGACTGGGAAATATCTAAAAGTTTTATCCCTTCGATGCTTTAAACTCGAAAGTCTACTTCCCACAAGATCTGTCATCAGACTTGGAAGGTGTATGTTGCTTGATGTGATTTATACGGACTTTCAACCCAGGAGTTTCTCTGTGGGAAAGATCCTTTCTTTCCTGCAGTTGTATCTGGATCACTGTTTGGCCCTTAATACCATCAGGAACCAAATCCTTTGCTCTTGCCATTCTTTTCCAAAAACCATTGGCTTCCTACTCCCTGATCAAGACCTTTGGGGAACCACATGGGAGACCCCTTGTACAAAGTCAAATCCCCACTATCTTTGTGGGATTTAAATTTGTTCCTTTTTGATTCCCCTTTTCAATTAGAGATTGCCCTCTCTCAACTCTGACTCACAAGGTTGTTTTCCTTAATGCTGTCAACTGGGCTAAAGGTGTGTCTGAACTGGCAGCTTTGTCCTGCAAGGAAACATTTTTTGGTCCTGGATTTTCTTTGTCATTCTGTATGGGTCCAGGAAGCGGGCACCGGCTTCTAGTTCCACCATTTTTTGAGTGACTCAGGCAGACCACAGTGCAAGCTTATGGTGTTAAGGATCGGGATCTCCCCTTTTTCAGTCAAGGCTTGCTCTACCCAGAGCTGTGAGTGCTTCTTGGGTGTTTTTGCATCGGGCTTCTGTTTGTCAGGTTTTCAAAGCTTTCCCCTGGTCTTCAGTTCATATGTTTTCCATGTTTTTTTATCGGGTGAACATTTGATCCTCTTCTAATTAATGCTTCTGGCGTAAGGCCCTTTTTAGATGGCTGTTTGAGCTGCAGGCAATCCCCAGTTTCTGTTCTTTATACTGGGCCTGTTAACGGTTTGTTGTTGCCCACCCCTCAGTTGGATGGATTTTGTATGTCCAGAAGGTTTAAGACTTCTTGTGTCCCTCAATGGCCGAGAAAAAACATTCAACCCAGTGGGGAGTGTGAGGCTAAACTGACTATGGGAGATAAGAGGCATGTCGTGCTGACCTAAGACATCCTGTATCTTCAAAGAGGAAACACTTGATATTCAAAATGACCAAGCCAGTGCAAAAACAAACAAAACAAAAAAAACCTGTATAGATTTACCGAAAACAAAATAAAAACACACATACATGTCATGGCATTTTTGGAGGCAATGTACTCTTTAACAGCAAATGGCTAATTGCTGCCATCAACAATAAAGACATTTTTTTTTTGCCCTGTATACATTTGCCACATAACTTCCACAATCTGTGGTTTTACATTTTAAATCTTGGTTAAGACATCTAAAATGAATCTTGTCTGTTTTTATTGCTTTCTGCTTCTAATTGGGGATATTTCTCTTTCCTTCCTGTCTTGGTTACAGTGATCAGGAGGACAGCAACTGAGGAGAACTATCTCAAACTGGGACTAGAGTTTAGAAGAGTTAGATTCATGAGGGTATTCCAATTGGGGGATTTTGCCCTTGCTTCATGTTCTGATGACCATGGTCACTGGAGCAGGCATTTTTTGTTTTGTTTTGGATAGAATGGGGAGGGTTGCTTTCTCAAGTTGTTATTGCTCTTTGTGTCCCCCCTTGAGAGATGCACCCTTCTGTGTGTCCTAGTGACCATTGTCACCAAGACCGAAAATAATGGGAGATCAAAAGTTTTAGAGTTGTCACCAGAGTAAAAGGTGAGTGTAAATCATGAAATGGGTACAAATGTTCTGTGACATTTGTCTAAGATGGGAATTCCCCTCATTTTTGGGTGATTGTTTTTTTTTTTCTTGTTGCCTGCTGTGTCTCCAGGACAGAAATTGAGGAGGCATATGCCAAATAGGAAAAATAACCTAACCCAAACTAAAATGAAAAATAATTTCATGAAATGTATGCTCGCTCTTATTGTCAAGATGTATGTTTATTCTTAGTGTCAAGATGTGAGTCCTGTGAAGGTACTTAATGTCGGAGATGTCAGCACTCCAGTGATGTGCCTATGTGAATCTGCATATTCTTCTGAAAAGACTGCTGTCTGGGGGATCTGTGGAACAAAGATCTTGTCTCTTTCTACTGACTTTATTGTTCAAAAGAGTATTGAAACAAAAACTGCTGCACTGTAAGTATTCATAATCTGCAAAAGCCTTTTTTTTCTTTTTAGATTATATTATTTTTTTTCCATAGGAACCAACAGAAAAAGAAAGCATTCTGTGATGGAAGTTGTTCTTTGACAGTAGCTAATGAAAGCCTAGTACACAGGGAGCAAATTCGTCCAATTCAGCAGGATATACAGCTGCCCAGATCACTTGTACTCAAAAGCCCTCCCTCTGCCCAAAAAAAAAACACCCAAGATTATGGGTGCAGCAGCCATGATCTTGGTATAGCCATTTCCACATGTACGTCCTATGGCTCTGAAGTGGCTAAGTATTTCCCACATGATATGTTTGTGGGGACTGGTTACTGATTTAACCAAGAGTGGAATAAACTCTTGGACTTTTAGTACAATGTGCTAGAAGGCCATTACTAGGAGTTGAAAAAAAAAATCCAACCCCTCCCCCATTTTCAATTTTGGAAAAACCTTGTCCACTCCAACCTGCCCCACTAATAGGAAGCCTACAAAAACAGGAATGCTCAACTAAATTCCTGAAAGTCTGGAAGCCTTGACTGGGCATTTTTATCCACTGCTATGAATCTGCAGTAACTCCCCACCGGGATGCTCCTCTCCATCACTAATTTTGTCTGCTGACCAGGATCACAGTGCCCTCTGAACCTCCACATGTTACTGCTTAAAGTGACACCAAACTCAGGAGTGAAATCTTAAAAATGCATTCAAGTACTTTAACTATTAACAAAAATGGATCTTATTTGTTTATCACTCGGCTGTAGATCCTCAAATCATCTCTGAATTGGTGCTGACCCTGTCCTTCCTACTGGGGGGTGGCTACCTTTTGTTCCCCATGGTCACTGTGTGTGTTGTAAAGTATCCATCACTCCAAGCTCGCTCCTGTGATGGACTATAATTTCAGTCCAATTTACTAAATTAAACATGAGATTGTAGTCCATCCCATGAGCGAGCTAGAAGTGGTGGTTACTTTACAACACACACAGGGACCATGAGGAACAAAAGTAGCCACCCTCCAGAAGGAAGAACAGTGTCAGCACCAATTCAGAGATGATTTGATGATCTATAGCAGAGTAATGCACAAATAAGATGCATTTTTGTTAATAGTTAAGGTACTTGAATGCACTTTTAGGATTGAACTCCTGAGTTTAGTGTCACTTTAACTATCTAAAGCAGGGGTAGGCAAACGTTGGGCCTCCAGCTGTGGTGAAACTACAAATCCTATCATGCACCTGCCTGTTGCTACCAGAATCTTTTGATGCCTAAGGGAATTTGTAGTTTCACCACAGCTGGGGGGCCGAAGTTTTTCCTACCCCTGATCTAGAGTCACACTCCTGTGCTGGACTGGCCTTGAACACTGACCTCTGCAGCTATACCTACTTCCAATCTATTCTCTATACCTACTTCCAATCTATTCTCTAATCATTTCTTCCTCCACCCCCTTTTACTTTTAGCATTTTTTCTGAGGAGAAAATGTATTGATACTGTGTCTCTGTCACATTGCACCATATCCTACTTTCAGAAACGTTTGCATTAAAAACAAGAATCTCCTCTAGCACCTCATATGGATGTTAATCCTGAGTGTTAAAACATAACTCTGGACATTATCCCCTTCCTGCCCAATGGCAGGATTGTACACTAAGCTTTTTTCTTGGTGTCTTAGGCCAAGTTTAATGACATCAAGGGTCCTCCAGTGGTGGTGCAGACAGTGGCGTATCTTCAGCTAAGCATGTGACGCTGCTCTCTGTAGCATTGTCTTGTGAGTCCAGGACGGAGGGCATCCTGGACTCGCATGAAGGGTGTTCAATGACATCCAGGGGAGCAACACTGCATCTCTAGATTATTGAGTCTGCAGAGGACAGCGTCGAAGATTGGCTAAGCATAGCAGCTGAATCGTGTTTTTTTTTCCCCACTACGTGAGCAAATATCTTTTTTGTTTTTTTTTCAGTCCTTATTTGAATTGGGCTTTAACATACATGTCTAGAAGTATGTAATGATGTATGGCATTGTGCAGAGGGTTAGTTAAGGACATGGTAAGCCAATTGCATAAAATGATATAGTAAATTTAAACAACCTTTTGAGTTTTTACTTCAGATGCAAAAACTTGTGGAGGCCCCAAAAAAAAAAAGAATTAATTCAGTAAGCTCCTTTATCGTATGTTATGAGCAAAATATTGCAATATTAACATAAAAATGCTATTAACTGTTTTTTCCTAGATTTTCAAATGGATGTTTAAATGACTCGAACATAACTTCTTTTGCGATTGACAAATACATCTATGTAGCAAAAAAATACAGTCCCCATGTGGAAATTTGGGATAAGAAGTCAGAAAAACTATCTGGAGTACTTGACTGCGCTCAGTTTCTGAAGTAAATTTAGTTTATTTTAGAAGAACTTTATATTCTATAGTTTGCATTTTTTTCGTTTTAAATATTTCAAAAAATATATATATTTTTTTTTTTTTTAAGAGAGGAAATTGTGAAACAAAGAAAACTGAAGAAGGAAGATTCTTACACTGCACGAGTGAAGGCTTTGTTTCTGCAGAAGAATACTGCCCTGTGGGTGGGGACTGGAGGAGGGCATATTCTTCTTATTGATCTGTCAACACGGAGACCACTTAAAATTATTTCTAGTTTCTGTGACTCTATTCGATGCATGATTCCCACTCAGCTAGGTAAAAAGTTTTCAGAACCTAAATTTCCAACTGCATTTCTTTTGCAATCAAGACAAAGGGTTAATGTTACTATTGGGCTTTTAATTTTACATAAAGTAGAATGCCTCAGATTAAGTAAAATGCCATGGCAAACGGTGTCCTATTGGGTGACTCTGGCAAGAGCATCTGGTTTCTTAAGCCCTTGAGAGGTGTATGAAACTATTGGTTGAGTACTGCAGTACTCTGTATATTGTGGTTGAAAAAAGTTGTGCATGCACCGCAACACACCTTCCGCAATTTAACATTGTGTGGTATTGTGCATTAATCGCATGGCATAGGTATGAAGGTGCCCTGAATGAAGCCTTATTGTAACCCTTACTATATGTGCCACATACCTGTTTATTTTTTTTTTCAGGCCACAGGTAGGAGCTGGGAGGTGAAGCTGCAGGAGAGGATGGACACCCCAGCATTACAGACATGCTCCTGTAATGCTGGGAGCGGAAAGACATTTGTCACTGGTTGTAAGGACCACTCAACGGTCCTAGCAACCAATGATTGAAGAGGAACATGGTCTGGTCATGGACCGATTGCCGGCCTGTGCTGGGCTATGGCTTGCAGTGGGTGCACCGGCCTTGGAGGCCAGCGCATCCACTGTCAGCCAGCCATAACCGAGTGCAGGTAGGTGATCGCTCCGTGTGCAGGCTGGACAGGACAGATAAAGGGTCAGATATGACCTGTGAGCCTTAAAATGCCCAGGTCTTCCAAATGAGTTATGATTTCAGAAGATTTTATTATGGTGTTTTACTGTGTTACAAATTAGCAGTGCGGTGGATTGAGTTGGTGCTCTCTTGGCTTGTCTTTCAGTCTGTATTGTGAAAGAGAAAAGAGTGGTTAAATATAATACGTGTACATACAGATCAGTTATCAAGCTAGGAGCCATGAAATATTGGTTGGCCAATTTGTTGTTTAGTAAACACTGCTTTAAAAGCATCCCATTATTTTATGGCCATTTTTTGCACTGATCTAAAATAAAGAAGTTTCTTTTTAGGCACCAGGCTTATAATTCTTCATAGGCTTTTTTTTTAGTAGTGTACAAAGTTTACTCTGATTATAGATTTAGATATACATCCAGCCATATTTTACTTATAACAATCCTTTGTACTTTTTTTCTAGATAAAGGAAGTGTTAAAAATGTTGTACTAATTTTGGGATGTCGCTGTACACCACAAAAAGGTGTGTATGTGTACTGTATATTCATATTTATACGCGTGGATGTGTGTGTTAAGGTTACCAGATTTTCAGAATTGGAATACGGGGACACCCTACTGACTACGCCCAATTATAACCACACCCAAAAACACCCCCCATTTGTAGTCACACCCACAAAATCGCAGCCCCATTTTTAGCATGCCCTGAAGCAGAAGAAGCAGACATTGAAGATATAAAGACAGAGGGCCCTGGACGTTATAAGAAGTTAAATATTGTGGCGTGCACTGTGGCGAATCACTCGTCCTGTCAAATTGAGCTAACCGTGAGAGCAGCTGAAAATACAGGGTTAAATAAACCCTGAGCCTACTCTTCTTCTATGGGTCAAGAATGTGTAACGCGCAGGGATCAGGAACATGTAATGCACGGATTCCAAGGTACAAGACTGTGTAATGCACAGAGTGCAAGGGTCAGGCGTGTGTAATGCAAAACACAGGGTCAAAAGTGCATGGTGCAGAGAGCAGGAGTTATGAGTAGGTAACGCATGCAGTAAAGGGGTCATCAGTAGGTAACTCATTGCAGTACAGGGGTCATGAGTAGGTATTGCATGCAGTACAGGGGTCATGAGTAGGAGACAGTAGTAAGTGACGCAGTAATGGCATACATTTATCATGTACATTGCACAATACATCCAGCTCAAACACCAGTGAATGGCACAGTACAGACATAAGAATGGATAAAGCACTCTCAACGCAGCACAGCAGACATGCAGCCACTTATTGTGCACTCAGTTTGGGGCTGCAGGCATTGGCTGGTTCTTTGGTGGCAATCAGAAGCATGGTATAATTTTCAAATTATAGAAAAAGGCCATCCTGACACCCCCGAGCCAACCCTACTCAGCACAGGTCCGGCCACTCAGACCAGTGTCTGGAGCACAGCATGGAAGCAGCCACATGACGAGCCCTCGTATCATAGGAGGGGGATGTTAAAGCTCTAGGAGCACAGGAGGAAGAAGGGGGCATGACACGCTGCTGGAACACAGGAGGAGGGAGCGCGTGACAAGCTGCCAGAGCACAGGAGGGAGGTGCTTATGCCTTTCTTTGGGCCTTAGAGGCAGCCCACACCGCATGTACTAAGCTGGCTGTATATGTCTACAGTTCACTGTAGACATATACAGTGAACTCCGCCGGGGAACGTTTGTTGTCCAGTGCCTGTTTTCTGGAAGCGGAGACTAATGGTAATCTTGGTGTGTATGTATGTATGTATATGTGTGTGTGTATGTATATATGTGTGTGTGTATGTGTGTGTGTGTGTGTGTGTATATATATATATATAATTTTCCTTTTTAGAATGTGTATATTTTTATCAATTTTCTTTGCATGACATTTTTTTTTCTTACATTGTGCTGTAGAAATACAGTCTTTTCTTTCTGTTTGGGATACAAACCTCCCACATGAGGTTCAAAACCTTAAAAAACACAATGAAATTAGACAAGAGTTGGCAGAAAAAGCACGCGGGTTGTCTCTAGACTAATTGGAGGTAAGTCAATATATGCAGTAAATATTTGTATGGTGTACCTTATGTGTCATAATGAACAAAGAACCTGGAAAATTCTAGATACCTGTTAAGAGAGTTTCCTTCTGAAAATGATACTTGCAGTTGCGATGAAGCCAAAAAAAAGCAAATTTTCTGTTTTAATAAACTGTTATTATATTGTAGAAAGACTTGTTAAGATATGCAAAGTCATTGGTGCTAATGGACTGGAAGTGAGCTGTGTGTAGCACCTCTTAACTAGCTTAAGCTTCTGAAATGTCTTCCCTTAAGTCAGAATTCTCTGTTTTTAGGCAACATGTATTTTATTTCTGTAGCACAGGTCTACACATCTCAGATGATTTCCTTTCAGTCCATGGTCACCTAAGCAGGTGCAGCTGAAAATCATATGAATATGTATTAGTTTCTGTTCTACTTTACAGAACTATAATGTACTACATGTAAAGCATTTGTTTTTCATAGTAATACAGCTCTGAGGAAAATTGTGGAAAAGTGATGCACCGATACCATTTTTCAAGTACTAATACTTGCCCAAGATACAAGTACTGATACATTTTTGTTTATTGTCATGTGACAGTTTTTCTAAAACAATTCAAACGAATGATTTCAGGACAGTGGTGGAGCACCAGAGCCAGGTCCCCGGTGCAACCCTGGTAGTTCTCATGAAAATGCCAAGTATCGGCACTGGTATCTGGACATCACTATATTAATAAATCATGTATTCATATAAGAAAATAGTTTGTTACCTAGCTGCTATAATTTTTTTATTTATCTGCATATATGTTTATGCTTTGCTAGTAAACTGATTAACTTTCGCTCTCTTTTATTAACACAGTAATCGCGTATCACTGCTACACGTATTTGTTTTTTTTGTCTCGCCTCATGAAGTAACACAGATTGCAACAGACGTGGAAACCAAAATCTCACCCATTGATATGTTTGGATAAAATTGATTCACTTTGAGAAACAAAGAATGTACAGATATGCAAGTAGAAAAACAAATGTCCACAATATAACCTGTTTCCACAATTATGATCTTATGAAATCTTATGAATGTTTGTATAGTAGCCATCATTGATTGTTTGCATTGCAGAATAGATATATAGATAATACAGATTGTGCTTTATGCATTTGGTATAAATAAAGATATTTTATTTATTACGGTCCTTGTTTGGAATTCCAACATCCGAATTAAGAAAAGGAGATTGTTGTAAACCAATTTCACATGAAAAAATGATGATGCTTGTTGACGTGTTGAGCATATGCATATGACCCATTGACCTTTTTTTTTGCATACTTTAAAAAAAGTAATCTTGTATATGTGCTGTACAGTACAGATGTACAAATATGTATTTGGTTGTGTTGTTTGCTGGCAGCCTATTTTTATACAGAAGTTATAATGTGTACATGTATGACATGTATAAGCCATATACTTAATTAATTTCTTTTTAAGTAGAAATTCCAGGATAAGTTTTGAACAAAGAGAAAATCCTAAATGGAATGTTTTTAATATATATTCTTTTCTGTTTTTTTAAATAAAAGAAAGTAAACACTGTCTCTGTATGCAGGTTTTCTAATCACGTGCAACATTTATCAAACTTGGTTCTCATTGTATAGATAAAAAGAGATCAGCATCCAAGAAAAGACTACATAACTGAGTTATCATTATTTATTTTTCCCTTTCTTTACTATAGACGTTTATTACAGTTGTGGTGTTCTAGGAATTTCCCATCTGAATTGCCAAAAATCATTCTTAAGAACTCTTTCCTAATTTTGTCCAAAGGTTCTGGTTCAGCAGTAAACCTGCTCCTCTTCATCTTTACATATATGAAATAGAAAAAATGAACATAACCAGAGCAGGACTTTTCAATTTATAAAAAGATTTGGAGCACAAGTTGGGTGTGCGGATCTGTCTAATTTCATGTCATGTGGAACAAATAGAAATGTGCTAAACTGTAATACATAAATATCCACATAAAATGTGACCACAACAAACCGTGTAACCCCGCACCAATATGATATTCAGCAGCAGGCACTAATAGCACTAGATTAACCTGTTAAGATTTAAAATGCCAGTATGTACGTGCTACGCTATTCTAAATGACACAAGCATAATATTGAATGTAAACAAACCACAAAATTAAACACACACAAAATATAAATACAAGCATCGTGACTGTTTATCAAACAATATGTGCATCACAAAAAGGGAATTCCATCAACAACCCCAGTATATAAACGTTTATCTAGGTCAATATAAAAATCAGTCCAAATAGAAATGGGTAAAAATAATCCAGAGTAATTCCACCACCAGATGATGACCACCGCATGAACACCCAACAGAGTACTGCTCACCTTGGGCTCAGACCTGGACAATAGGTCTGAGCAACACTGTTTACCCCTTTTGTTGTAGAGCCGGGCGGGGATCTACCCTTAATGGAGTACATCGGTTATAAGCCTCCTATCTAACCACACACGTGTTCCCAGGAAGCCAGATACCATATTATATCAAACCAAGATAAAAATAATACAGGCCATAGTGTACACCATAACAAATACATTAAATCTTTACATAAACGGCTACTCTCATAAAACCATGAATGTCCAACTTCGCCACAGAAAACTGTCGTGATATGGGATGGAAAGGAACACCACAAGATGAGCTGAACGTGCTCCAATTTTCCTCCAGCTGCTCCACCCACCTCTGTGTCACAAGCTCTGCCCTACACATGTTGCGTCCAGATTGACTTCATCTTCATCATTGACGTCGTCAGGGGAACATGTTTAAGCCCTGAAGAATGGGGAGATTCTTGAGCCCCTGAAATGTGTTGGCTGTTCTGTGCCATTGTTTACAAAACCATTCTATTATTAAACCTTTTTGGACTCCTCATACTGTCTTGTTTGGTGCCCTCATTCGACTTTGTATGCATACAGTATATCTTCAACCCTGGATTTCCTTGCATGTGAGAAGTCCCGCTTTTGTTGAAAGAGGCCTCACTAGAGCCATTGTGATTCATCATGTTCTGAATATTTGAATCCAGTGCCTCACCTGTATTGTTAGTGTGAATAAGCTGTATGGAGCCAACAGGCAATGCGGAAGACTATTTGTTTGCCCTTTGTTTGCCTTTTGTGGGCACAGCCTCCACAGTTCAGGTCCTCTTTTAATAAGATTCAAAGGTCTCTATAAAGGCCAAAAGAGTGAAGCAGCAAAAAAAAAAAGCTGTTAAAGAGTTCAGAATATCAACAAGTCAAACCTATGCCTTTGATCCAAAATGGTGGGCAAAGCTATCTTTATGTTGTGGAGGTCTTGGGATTCTTTCTGCTTTCTGCGATGGTCCTTTTTGCATAAAATTGCAGCTAGTGGTGGTAAACCTCATTGTTCCAATTATTGTTCTGTTTTCCAGGTATAACCACAAAATAATGCATCCAGTCTGCAGCAATTTATATTTTAGCCAGCACATCATTTCAGTAATGTCCATTCAATAGTGATCGACATTAGCAGACGACGTGCCTATCACAACAAATACACACAGCTTTTACCTAAAAGGGTTATGCAGTATGTGGTTGTGGTCCTGATCACACTGCACAGCATAAGAAACTAGTATGAGCGCCCCCTCTATACTGCTTGCTGGTCCTGAATAAGTGAATAATACAACACACATTATTACCAAATACGAAAAGTAATACAGTCAGTTCTACTAACTGAGAAATACTACATTCAAACATAGTAACTGCAGCTAACCGTTGCTGTTTTGTTCTGAGTCCTAGGTAGGATTCCATGTGCAAAGGGGCAATAATACATATACATAGGGGAGGGAGGGTTCCAATCACAACAATCTTGATAGTGTATATCTTAATGGTGGGTCTCCAATATATTATCAAAAAATCCACATATCCCCTTTTAAAGAGATCCCACCACAAAGCTCATAATGTAACTATGTTGTCATGTCTAAAAAGCATCTCATTTATTCAACAAAACAATGTACCATATTAAAGCCTGTAAAATGTATGTATTGCACATTCATCATGAGTCTGCTGGCTCATATATTTGTTACACACAGACTTGATCCTGTCACAGAGGACTTGTTTGACCGATTTTTTTCATACATAGATACTGGGAGTCTGCGGGGAGATACATTTTTTTTCTACCTATATATGTTATAGAGTCGGATCTCTATTTGATTTGGATATTCGAGGGGTCATATAACAAATGTTTCCTTATATATGGCTAGCCGAAGTTAATGAATGTGCAATACATACATTTTACAGGTTTTAATATGGTACATTGTTAAATTACATGCTTTTTATACATGACAACATAGTTGCATTATGAGCTTTGTGGTGATATGTGGTGATAAAGGGGATATGTGGATTTTTTGACAAAGGGGCAATAACTCTTTCTCTTATAAAATTGACTGTGTTAACCACATAGGACACATCACAAGTAATTTACTGCCCCTGAAGCCCAGGATGGGGGCATAGAAGACAGTCGGTGGGCCTTCTGAGTGTTTTGGATTTTGCTATAGGAAGCAATGTCCTTGTGATCATTGTGATTTATTTAAACCCGTCACTTTTCTTGAGCTGTTGTGGTAACCACTCCTTTATATGATAAAAATGCAGCTTGAACACAAGGTGCTCAAGTACAGTAAGGGCCCGTTCACGCCGATGCACACCTACAATGTGTTACAGTGTGGCAGGTACATTGATTTGCCTATTTATTTGTATGGCACCCCAATGCACCTTCTGTCCACAATGCACTCAACCATGGTGTAATGCATGGCACCGCATTACCATGTGGTGAAAAAAGTAGTGCAAGCTTTCATTTTTCCACCGCAAGGTACGGAGAGGAAGAAGTGGTGTTCTGTAGTACCAACACATTTCTTGTTCTAGGGTGAGCTTGGTTACACTAGGAAAGGAATTGTGTTAATGGCAGGATCACCGGGGGAAACTAAAGGTAAGATAAGCCTGAAAAAAGAAAACTATTGCAGTCACCATGTCTAATGACTGATAGACTATAATATACAGCATGTGGGGTTTAGCTACACTTTTTCAAAATATCACTTAAGGCATTTTTTTATTGGGATTGTAGTGAGGGGTTATAAACATTGTCAGTTTTTCATTGCTGTGTCCATGTTAGCTAATTGTCCTGATGACTAGTGTCACCAGGAATGAAAGTTAGGATAAATCCAACATTTTGAATTGCCATTGGAAAAGGAATAGAGGGGAAATATTCCAGTGGGGACACTTTGACAACTATCTAATAGTAGATTTCACACACGGAAAAATATCCTCTCAATTGTTGAGTCTACAGGCCAGGAAGGGAATAGAAATTTCTCTAATTAAGACACTAATGGCAAAAAAAATCCTGCTTGTTGTTTTAACCCTCTTCTACACTATCTAAAATGGGGGGGAAAAGAGTTTTGGCTTTAGATATACTTTGTTTGGAGACATTAGTTTTCCACATAAAGGTATTCAAATTCTTCTTTGCAGCCTTTAATAACAGTAGTCACATGATTAATTTTTGGCAGATAACACAACTCCTATGTAACAATTGTGGCTGTGTACTTGGCTGTTCCCTGGAGAGTGGCTTTAAGTGTCCTAAACAGTGTTGAGAGACAGTCATTCTGTTTGGAACCCTTACATTTCTGTGACTGTTCCTAAAATTCTTGCAGTTTATGTAAGGGCCTGTATTGGTTGGCCTCTGTTCACATCAGACAGATTTTGCATTCCCATACAGATCTATCAAATGAAAAACCCACTTTACCCGGTCAAATACAGGTCCGAAAGAGATCAACTGCCAGTAAAATGCACATGTTAATTGATTCATAGAGATGTCAGAAGCATCTCAAACTGACACTAGCCCAAAATCCGTATACATAGACTCTAAATGATCAGGGGAGGATTGCTGTTTTCTCAGTAAAAGTAGTGTTATACTCTAAGGTGTAAAAACAGTTTTTAGGTAAGAAAATGCTTCAAGTATAATGAAACCTTTTTTTTCCATATATCTACTGCCAGCAAGCAGTAGACATCTGCAAAAAACAGTTGGCATGTGCATTTGGATTCGGACGAACCTGCAAATCCATGAAATTCAGTTGAATCAGCGGTGAATCCGAAATAACAAATTTATTATAAGCCCGAATATACTAAAACTGTATTCGGGCATACATAAAGTTGTTTGCAGAACGCGCGGCGGCCATATTGGTGCCATCTTTGAGTATATCTTAGTATACACCAAGATGGTGGTGCCCGAAACATACGGGTGCCGCCATCTTGGCATATACTAAGATACAAGAGCGACATGGCCGCCGCTTGTTCTGCATGTCCAGTGTTCTGTGTCAGATTTCGGAGGCTCGTTGCATCCGAATCCGAAACAGCAGAAACATTTGTTTTCTTTGCGGAAACAAATGGAAATGTTTTTTTGTTTATTTGTTTTGTCAGAAAACAATTTTTTTTGCCTTGCACATGTCTACCAAACTGGTTATTACTTACCTGTGTCTCCGCCGCTCGCTCCCCTCTGAAGATTCTCAAGCGGCCATGAAGGATCATGAGGCGGGCACATGCCGAGTAGTGATCTTGATCTTCGGCTGGGAGAAGAGGAGAGACACAGGGTAAGTCAATGCACGCAGCTCTGCAACAGACACCATGGGACACAGAAGAGACAGAGCTGGAGGGACTCCTGAAAACTATTGGAAAGAAGATGATCGGATAAAAAGGCATCATTTAAGGTAAGTCCTTAAAGCAACATGGGGAGGTGACATTAAGTACTCCAGTAATGAAAGTGGTGGAAAATGCAACATTTTTGGGTTATCTTAGAAGCAGAAGGTGATAAATCATGAACCAACTCTAAAGTACAATATTAGATGACACAAAAATATGATATATATATATATTGTAACAAGGACACTCCACTGAAGACCGGAGGTGCAAGTACAATGCAGTTTATTTGCTTTCAAAACGATAGATAACACGAAATCCAACATAAATAGCTTGCTGTAGCATAACAGATAGGGGCTCACCAATCCTCGAGTTGTCACGTACACTCAAGGTGTCCCAGTCTTTTAACAAGTCTCTCTCGCAGCACTGCTGCTCCGGCCTCAATCTTTAGGGCCACTGTCTGGTTCCTCCAGACAACAGCAATAACATGCCAATCCTCTCAATATGGTTCACAAACCCGCAGCTCCCTGCTGCCCTGGCCTCCACACTGACTCCGGGGTGGAGCTCTCCTGACTCACAGGTGGGGGCCCTGAACACATCCCAGCACACACTTCATGAGGGATGTAAACAGGTGCACAATCAGGTGCTGGTCACCACCAAAGCATGGACCCAGGAATGGAGATTTCTTCCCACCCAGAGCTCTAAGAAATCTCCTGGCTCCAGGATCCCAACCTTGATCCAGAAAACCCAGAAAGAACTGAAAAGGCAGTTCTCTCCTGGTACCAGTAATGTCTTCCTGGAGCCACTCAGCCCCTCTGTCTGAGAACCCTGGGTGACTTTGAGGCCACCTAACACCGTGGTATTGCCTCACAATGCCACAATATATATATAGTATATAGTCATTACAATTTTATTAATGCAAAATTCAGAATAGACCCCCTCAGAAACAGTGTAATAGACTCAGTTGATAGTTTTTTTTTTAAAAAGGTTGGATGTATTTTTAAATGCACATCATATAACTGGCTATTATTATTTATAAGCATTACCAGAGTGTGGATCCTGGGAATATCAAATATCAAATTGCCTTGTGGAAAAAGAAGGATTGTCTCCTGTTTCAGCAAATTGGAACTTCCTTTATTTTGGACCAGCTGTTATTCTAAAGTTCTGTATCTGCATTTTTTCAATGTATTTATTTATTCATTTTTTGTTTAATATATATTTATTAATTTTCCAAACAATAATAACTATTTATGACATATGACAAGTACACTTTAAAAAAAAAAGGACGAAACAGAAAAAAAAGAATGCGCTTTTCCACACAGCCCTTATATTATATGTAATATCTATAACTTAATTTATAATAAAGACTATTCTTCCCAGTTATACTAGTTAAAAATATTGTGAGTTACAATTAATAATAACTAATATAACAATTTATGATCATAATCATTCTCCTCATTTGTGATGATATTTACATCTTAAAATTATAATAGTGAATGACCTTCAGTTACTAATCCAGTGCCCAAAAAGAATAGACTAATGTGAAGAGTGCTACTTTATAATAATGAATATATTATTCATAATCGAAAACAATAGATAAATATAATTGTTATAAGTATAAAAAGGTGAAAAAAACCATGTGTAGTAAATCATTCAAATAAATTATATATTTAATGTGCTAATATGTGATACAATATCATATAGTGATAACTATAATAGTGGATTTTTAGCATAAGATATATGAGTGTTATCTAGTATAACCAGCCTCTTCCCTTACATAATTTTATATATTTATATCTCACACATAGACAAAAATAAAAAATTAGATACAAAAAAACACCCATAACAAACAAATCGACATTAGCATCTTACCCCCATCCTTCCCCCGTCCACTAACACCTACTCTCTAATACCAAAAAGCAAAAAAAGGAACACAAGTAGAAAAAGGCACCATGAGAGGTCTAGCATTTTCAAACTCCTTCATTTATGCAGTCATCACAGATGGATATGCTTCCGTAGCTTTGTAGGTAAACCAACCCGCCCATGTTTCACAGAAACATGCATGTTTATTCCTACTACTACCGTGTGTCCCCGAAAATAATACACTGTCTTATATTTATTTTGGCTCAAAAAAACACACTAGATCTTATTTTTGGGGTAGGTCTCATTTTTTTTAATGTATAACAATCCAAAGTTAACGCAAATCCAAATTTAAATCATCCAAAATGGAAAAGTTAAGAATAGGGTGATCATGGGTGCCGTACCTTTCCAAGAGCAATTTGGTAACCAATCGCTGGCCAGAATGAGCGAAACGCACTTTCACTATCGATTCCTCACAGGCGGAGTGCATTTGGTATCACTCGGCCAGTGGCAGGAGCAAGCACTATAGAGGAAGCATTGGCTTATGCGGCTCTGCTCCCTCCGCTGCCGCTTCGCTTCCTCTAGCGCTGACTTCATTGGCACTGCTGATTCTCTCCCGCGGCTCTTCAAGTTCCCCCTTATGCCACCACCGGCCCTGGGAATGGTCACAAGTGGGTCTTATTTTCGGGGTAGGTCTTATATTTTAGCAATTCCCACAAATAGTACTAGGTCTTATTTTCGGGGTAAGTCTTATTTTCGGGGAAACATGGTATATATTAGTTCTTTCAGAGCACATTTTTGATCTATCTTCATGAACCATTCTCTTTTTGAAGGGGGTTCTACCTGATTCTAGTGTAGAGGAATAAGTGACTTAGCCGAGTTCAACAAGTGAGGTGTAATAGATCTTATAGATCTTATAATCTTGTGAAAGGATCTAAACTTATAAGTGTTCCTCGTATGGAGGAAATTATCTAAGTAACCCTTATCCAGTATTTACTAATAATGGACCAATGCTACCATATATGTGTCATTGTCACCCTTATTCCACACCCTCTCCAACACAATGTGGAATTGCCTGGAGCTATTGAATGCAACCTTACCGGTGTGAGGTACCACCTAAAAAGGAGTTTGTAATTCATTTTCCCAATATAGGAAGATATAGAAGATCCATGTGTTAGCTGTAAAACCTTTAGTCTACATTATTCTGGTAAGGGAACCCCCAAATCAACTTCCCATTGCGATATATATCCTGGGCAGGATGGAGTGCTCATATAAGTCAGTACATGGACCAGCCTCCACCGGATAGCCCTCATCTATTGTTCTGATTGGTTTCAGCAGCATCTGCAAAAAATGAGCTGTTATTTTTTTTGACTAGGTTAGAAAAAAAACAATTGGGCAGAGCTAGCAGTGACAGCTAGCTCCGCCCAACTGTTTCCTATTTGCTGAAACCTGCTAGAGTCTTCTCGCTGATCTGTCATTACAACTGGCTCCTCCTCCTTCGGTGGCTGTACGGGCTATAGTGAATAGCATGTACAGCAGCCATTCGGTTCAACTGAAATGAAGGGCTCCGGTGGCCGGAGAGAGCCAAAGGATCAGCCGAAGCTACAGCTTCAGATGTTGCCTGCGTAGATTGTTGTGAAACATTGTACAAGGTAGAAATACATTCTTTAAATACCCTAGCAATATCTCTCGAAGTATATACTATAGAGCCTGCTGATGATTTAACTTTGGAAATATAAGATAATAAGACTACTGACGGCTTTTTAAACTGGAAAAGGCGACTTTACAGTAGAAGCAATTCTGGCAGCTCAGCTGCACCAGATCGCTTCTACGGGCCCCGCCCGACACCCCCACCATGTTTCCCGGGCTCCGTGGCCCCGCCTACAGGCCAGGGACCTGCTTCTCTGGTGTTGGGGGAAAGCTGGGGAGGAGATCAGCGAACCTCCATTCACCGATCCCCTTCCCGTACTATGGGAACGGGAGTGATGCAGGTTACATCACTTCCGATCCCATAGCCGTCAGGGCTCCTGAAGCCCAGCAATAAGCTATGGAAGTGTGATCTGCACTTCAGTAGCTTATTTCAAGTATAAAGGTGTTACTAGGGGTCTTTTGGACCCCCAGTATCACCCTAAAGAGTACCTGTCACCACTGATCTGCTATCACATGGGGGGGCTTGTAAGCCCCCCCCCTATGTGATAGCAATTAAAGTTTAAAAAAAAAACAAAAAAATGTAACAATAATATTAAATAAAATAATTGTAAAAATAATAAAAACACTTTTTAAAGTCCCCCGCATCTTCACGTAAACACGCGTCGGGAGCGCCTACGTATGAAAACGATGATTGCGCTACACGTTGGGTGTTGCAGCGCATGCCAGAGTAAAGGCGATAATTCTAGGGCCAGTATTTACGTGCATCTCTAAACTGATGACCTCTATCGGCTTTTAAAGCGTCTGTGGACTTTTAGGGCCTTAAGGTGCATTACTCTAAGTGCGCGATCCTAGCGTAGAGAGGAAGTCTCTGGTCGACCTAGGATCTGATTAAATATGACTTGTAACGTAACCTCCAAGTCAGCATGAGATGTAGCTTCAGTTAAATCTATTATCCTGAAGTTATTTCCCCTATTTAGTTTCTCCAGGTCCTCTATTTTTTACAAAACTGATCTATATTGCTTAGATACTTTTCCAAATGCTACCTGAAGATCGCAGATTGCTTTATCCTGAAAGTAAAGTCTGGCTTAATTTTACTCCACTATTTTTAATAAATGAGAGAAATCCGCCCGTACATTAACCACTTCCTGCTTAATGGAACACTCTAAAGTCTGTAACATCTGTGCCATATCTGCTTTACTTGGTAGATCCTGCATATGTCTCTGCTTCTCTATCATTTCCTTATGCTTAGCCTGCACCTAAGATTGAACCCCCAATTCGGTTCTAACTCGAACTTTCGAACATGGAAAAAGTTCTGACTCGAACTTAGAACTCAATGCAAGTCTATGGGGGTAGAACTCAGAAATGTAAATGTCCCCATTTTGAAGCCTTATATGCAATTTATTGGCCATAAAAAGTTTATGGGGATCCGGGTACTGCCCTGGGGGACATGTATCAATGAAAAAAACACTTTTAAAAAATACAATTTTTAAAGGAGCAGTGATTTAACATCACTTAAAATGAAACATTAAAAATGAAAAATTCCTTTAAATATGGTGCCTGGGGGGTCCCCTTTCACTGACCGTAAAGTGGCGCATCTGTATGATGTATAGAACCTGCTGAAGCAAAAATGACATTTATATACATTTTATTGATATTTATATAGAACTCTAATATATACAGAAGTCTGATTTATATATATATCTATAATCAGACTTCTGTGTGTATATATATATATATATATATATATAAGTTATAAGTCTATTATAACTCTCTATAACTATCTATAACTCTCTATCTATCTGCTGACTGTAACTAACTATACTAGAACCCTCTCTATCTCCTACAGCACACTACATGGGGCCGTGGTGTCAGCAGCCTTATATAGTGTGCTGCAGGGACTTAGCTGTGAGACATGATTGGGCAGAGTCATCGTGACTCTGCCCAATCATGGCTCTACATTTGTACTGAGCCCTGATTGGCACAGTCTTGCACCTGACCCACGGTCAGGTGCAGGACTGTAGCCAATTACCGTTTTCGGACAGCGCAGTGCATTGTGGGATGTGCCGGGGTCAAACAGACCGCGGACATCCCATAATGTTCGGCGAACGCTAGAACATGCAATGTTCGAGTCGAACCTATGGTCGACTCGAACATGCAGCCCATCCTTACCTAAGATGCTGACTCACTGGCTCCCGCTGCATCTCCACCTCTGCCACCAGGAATCTCCTCAGGGCACCATCTTTCCCATCTTTCTATATGCGTGCCCTGCCGGCGTGTATTGGCCGATTCTCTCCCGCTGCCCTCCAGCTTCAGAGCTCTGCTCACTCAAATACGCTTGGCATCATGTGCAGACCACGCCCCGCAGCTTCAATTTATTTATTAATTTTTTCTATTGATTAACCTCAATGGACTATATTTTTTAAACTGATTATGTAACGGTACATAACAAGGGACATACAGTACGTTTAAACACCTCTGATACACATAAACTCAAACCCAATGTGTAAATTAAAAAGTAATAAATGAACACACAATAGCAAAAAAAATAGACAGTGTCCCTCCCCATCAGGGAGAGATCCACAACTTGGAAGTGCAATAAATAAATAGCGACAACCCCCAATTTATATACAGGAATAATTCATATATTAAAAGGGTCAATCCTTTTTAATATATTATATGTATTATCCCTGTATCATCCCTATATTTATCTCAGTTTCTGTGTGGTTGTGAACAGATGAACTGCAATGATTCATCCAATATAGAGATATAGAGAATTCTATAGATTCACAGAACCACAACACTTTAAACAATGCTGCTTGTAACAATTTCATGTAATGCAATTTGATACAAATTAAAGAGAAAGCATTGTTAGGAAAAAGGTGTGTTTAAGTAAATCTATGGAATTTTATATTTCTGTATAAACTTTCCTGCTGTGCCTCTGAGACAGGAAATTAAGGGAAATCTCAGGAACACAACAACAAAAAAAGAAAAATACCTCACTTTGGTTCTAAAAGTGTACCTATAGCCAAAACTCCCTTCCAGTTTACTTGTGCTTGCCCAGAGAGACAACAGGAAGTTAAAGAAAAAAGAAAGGAATGCCAATCTTAGTTGTCTATGGAACTGGTCTTCCCATTGGAAGATTTCCCCTTAACTTTTCTCCTTGGGGCAACTCTAAAGTTTTGGATTTTCTTCCACTTTCTTTCTCAGTGACAAAGGTCACTATTACAAATAGTGGGGTGAATCTCCCCAGTGAAGAGCAATAAAAACCCAACAAAGGATCTTAGGCCTCCTCCTATGTTATCCAATTCTAAAAAACAAGATTTTTTAATAGAAGTACGTTTGATCTATTCCCTACTTTCTCCAAAAATAAAATAAAAAATGTTGACTTTGAGTACTCTTTAAATTTGTTGAATATTCAAACAGGATGGAACAAGACCTTACGTTCAGATTTCATTTGATATAAAAAGGAATAATTAAGAATAATAGTCCCTGCTGTATTGACATTACAGGAGATTCTGCAAACAATGCTGGGAAAAAGCAATATGAATTTGGCCTTCTGGAATAATAAGTTGTTTACATAGCTCTTTGATTAAAAGGTGTGTTTTTTTATGCAAATGGAGAGAACACAGATTTTATATAAAAGCTGCGCAAAGCAGCTGTCCCTTACAGTAAATGATGCAGATGTTAGACTACTAACTATAAAGATGAATTTAAAAATCGTATTTGTATGTCTAGTCCTGCTTCTGCAGCTTTGCTTGTGTGCAGGTGAGTTAAGAATTTATTGGTTTTAATACATTATTTTGCTGTATTGCTGTATCCTAGCTCCTCTTTTTCAAGTTAACAAAAGTATTAATTCTGCATATAATACTTAGATTTGTTTTTCTAAAATATGGTCACTTAGCCATAATTTTAATTGTTACATAATTTCTTGCTTGTGGTATTTGTTAATACTACATGTTCATAAAATAACACTTATATTATGAACAATCATCATTAATGTGTTCATTGAAATTACATGTTGGTTTTTTCATACTGCCAATTTTGTGTAGTTTAAACAAGAATCTTGTATATAGTACATACAAAACAGCTACAAATGTAAGGAGCGCTACTACCTAGAAATTTGACTGTATAATGTCTAATAGTTGATAAAGGACAATAAGTATAACTTACAGTTGGAAGGCAACTAGTATGTCAAGGATGATGGATTAATAACCAGCATCTGGAGAGAGTCCGAGGAGGGGTAATTCCAGGATACAGTGATGACGGATGAGAAGGCACTGTGCACGGCTGGCCAGGCCGGGCCGCGGCGGCTGAGAGAGGGAGAGCCTCGAGCGGCTGTGCTCAGTGCGTACAGACTGGTGTCACGCAGACAGGCTGAGACTTGGATAAGGAAGAAGTCTAGGTGGATGGACACTGTGCACAGAAGGGGGGCTCTCTAAACAGTGGCGGCTATGCGTTTCGAGGCACAGCCTCTTAAGCCTCAGAACGCATTTTCCACATACCAAACCACAGATCAGAAAGGGTGATGGTAACAAGATTAAGTCCGCATCAGCGCGGGCCTCTTAGCTTGTCGCTTAATGTTGAACTTCTAGCAGAGCCGCCACTGTTTAGAGAGCCCCCCTTT